CAGCCCATATGAGAGAATTCGACAGTAATTCAATAGATAAATATGCACTTTGTAATTAAATTGGAATAATTGTTGTTTCTATTATCTGACATGATTAAGTTAAATATTTGCTACTACAATACGATACGGCCCACCAATATTTTGACTATGTTTATAACGACGAGAAAAAAACTGCATAGTTTAAATACACACATATATATATCTGTTTATATATATATATCTGTCATAATTAGTATGTTGACTTCAAGTACTATACGTAAGCTAAACCATAGACGATAATAGAAATTATTTGAATTATTCTTCTTTTTTTATCATATCTTATGCTGAATTAAATACGTTTCACATTAAATTATGCATATGTTGAGCTTGAGCTTGAAAGAACTAATGCAAGTATTCTGTGTTTCACTTCTTCTTTTCTTCATTATTTCCGTTTTTCTTCTGAATTGTTTTAATTCTGTTTTCTCAATCGTTTCAAGTGAATGCTTATGCTGCTTGCTTTGCATTTAACAAGAGTGCTTAAAATTAGTACCTTTGACTAAGTTGTTTTCGACTAAGTTTGGTTTATACATAATTAATTTAATATATTTTTTTTTTGTTAGTTTTCCTTTTGCTTTAACATTTAATGCAAACATATAGAGAGAGAGCTTCTTTCAATATTTACTTTACTGATGACATGCACTACGAAATTTTCATTGGATAGATATTTTTTCATTGTTAGTTTTTTGTTTTATTTATTTTTGTTTTGTTGCAAATATTTTTACCAAAGTTTTTTGTAGGTTTAAGAGAGCAGGTCATAAGAGAGGGTCACAATCGAAATTAAACACATTTAAAGCACTGAATTAACTGTTGAAATAGGTCTATAATAGCAGGTGTGTCTGATTGGCATGTAAATCTGCTTAGTGCTACATTTTTTTTTACCTAGAACCTTTGAGCAAAATTGAAGGAAAAATTTAAAAATTAAAACAAGAAAAATCCTGTTGGTAGTACACACACTTAGATTACATTTGACTTCGACATTAGGGGTCATCATGGTAAGAATTGTTCAACATTAGGTTTACTCAATCATTTCAATTATTCAACATTAGGGGTACTCATGGTAAAACCTTTTCGACATTTGGCTGCCTTGAACAACTAACTTTTTAAAAACACATTTAAATCAATGTTTTGCATTAAATATTAGCAAATCTAAGGGGTATTCAACGTAAGAACGACTCTAGTTGAAATTTACAGAAAATGTAAATACTCGTGTCTGTTCAGTTAGTTAAACTACGCCTAGAAGCTTATTCCGTAAATGTATAGCACATCATTTAAATACTTAGATCAATTCTTGAATAGGTTGGTTTCTTTTCCCCACAGATCATTTGACTATTCAACTCTCGTTTAAGTAGGTAAGTGGTGAGTTTAGGAGTGAGAGAGCGGTGTATTCTGTTCTGTTTGTATTTATGTGTGTTATGTATGTATGTATGTATGTATGTATGAGAGAGACATTTAAAGAGAGCACTGCAGGTGCCGGAACCAGTTCCGAATGCGATTCCGGTTCCGGTTACGCCTGCAGGCATTGCACAACCTTTTTGGTTTCAAACGCGAATGTGCCTCGAAACGACGAACAAAACGTGACGACTATTTGATCGCCAGATCTTTGACATTATACGTAGGTATATGTGTATGCACTATCCTTATATTTTGGTGTAAAAGTATAAAAGTGTACCATATTTAAACGTCGAATGTTTCGCGTTTTACATTTGTTTAGCTTTCATTTTAGTTAAAATTTGTGGTAACTTTTCGTATCTATATTATAGATTTCATCATCATGCTCTTTTCGTTATTTATTCGTTTTTTTCAAGATATGCGCTTTGTTTTCTGTTTCTGTTTCTGTTCATCGTCTTCAATCTTTAAATGTTAACATTATTGCGTTTTTCATGTAAAAATTATAAAGTTGCTCGTTATTTAGTTATTTTCTCTGTTCTTTCATTCTTTTGCTTTAGTCTTGTTTGCATTAGTTTAACTTTCTGTTATCAGATCCTTTGCGGTTTGTCATTACGTATTATTCATTCATTTTTCTTTGTATATTATTGTGCGGTGTTTTTGTTCGTTACCAATACCGTTAAGTATATATAATATGTATATATAATATAATATATTGTATATATAGTATTCATGTATATGTTTAAATTTTTAAAATACTTTCTTGGTTTTTTGTTTATTCTTAGGTTTTTTTTTCATATATTATATTTATAAAACATTTTCATCTTAAAAAATGTATATAATCGATTGCTTTTTGTTGTTCTTCTATTTGTTGCTGTTTCTTTTTGTTTTGTTATCATTACTTAATTGCATTACGCATTCTGCATTCCCCTTTTCCAATTCAGATCGCACATGCACAAAAATGTGTGTGTCTGATTATAAAAGTCGGGTTTCTTGGTGTTTTCTTCTTATAGTTTTTCTTGAACCTGCTTCAAATTTTACTCATTTTTTGTTTTTTCTCTTGGAAGGTTTTGTTCTTATACATCGCATTAAAGCAACGAATTTTTTTGGGTTTGTATTTTTATTATTCTTATATTTTTTTTTTTTTGGTTTTTATTTTTTTAATTTCAGTCAAGCATTTGCGCATGAATATGAGTATTCGAGCGTCTCAAGTGTTTCGAATGACTGAAATAATTCGAATGAATCAAATGATTCGTTTCACTTGGTGTCTCTGAATGAGTTCTGTGCTTGTGAAAATAAGCCATTTAGCTCTACAAATATTAGGAGGCTGGGGCCTATGTACTACACACACATACATACTTAATAATCGTAATCGTAAATATACATACATATCATTATCATTTTTGGTTTTTCTTTGTTTTGTTGATTACTTTTTAAATAGTTGCAATAAATTTACTTGACGTATACATGAAAGTGTTTTGTGATTTATGCCATGAGTTAATATATATTTATAATCATTTTTCTGGTATGTATGTATATGTATAAACATTTAAAATTTGCAATACACAACATCAATATATTGTTAATCATATATAATATACTTTTTTGTTGGTTTTGTTCTTTTTTTTTATTAATAGTTATAGATTTTATATAGAGTTAATATATAGCATAGTTTAATGTGTTCCAACATTGCGAATTATTTAGGGATGACGTACACGCAGGAATTAAGGGTTAGAAAACTAATAGATAAAATAATATGACTATGATTAAAACAGTTTCCTGACTCCCACGCCTTTATGAATTCTTAAAGTTGGTAAAAACCTCAAGATATAGGCAAAAAAAATAAAAGAATATTTCAATAGAATATTATAACAAGAACTATTCGTATTTCTCTTTTCTTTTTTTGGTTTTAGGGTCTAGTACATTTAACTAGTTTTGCAAGGAAATCTCTCAAGCACCATGTTTTCATGTTATAGAACTCTGATTATACATTTTCTCATATCTGCGGTTATCTCTCGCCTGGCTTTTTAAATGCATATATCATTTGTCGAAAGGTTCCGATAATTCCTTCTCAACAGTTCTGTTTAATCACTTTTAAGGTAAATCTTTTTCACTCGTTTTTTTTTTTAAGAATTTTTCTTCTGCATACAAATTTTCTGTTGTAATTTTGATTTTTGTTTTTTTTTTTGTTGTTTTTTTTTATATTTAATTTGGCAATTTGTTTTGCATTAATTAATTGTTCCTTTATTATTGCTGTTTGGGTTTTTGGTTTAAACAAATTCGTTTTGCTGAAACGCGTTTTGTCAATTTGTTTTTGTTTTCCACGTACTTTTTGTTAGTTACGTTTTTAGCTTTTCTTTTTCTAGGGAGGGAATTTGATAGACATTTTCTCTGATTTCTCAAATTTTTCGAATGGCGTGCATATAAATTTTTTAGCTGGTTTTTGTTTAAGTTATTTCTTTTTAAAATTGTTTTTTAGCTGTGATTTATTTATTATGTTATTGTTATAACTTCTTTTTGATTTTGTTATTAAAATTCTATTTAGTTTATATGGGCTTTATAGCATTAAATTTTTCTTAAACATTTATTCGTTGTATTCGAAAAATTCTCTGTATATTTAGCTCTCGGTTTGTTTATAGATTTTGTAATTTTTTGTTGCACATTCGATTTTGTTACTGCTCTCGTCAGGATAGATTCAGAAATAGTTTAACATAGTTGGGAATTGGAGAAGTTTTAAAACATGACACATGATTAGATGAAGCTTGTGAATTTAATAATTAAATATTTGAATAAAAAGTGTCTTTAAGTATATAATAATGCAATACGATCTTTATTTTAAGCAAGAGTTACACATTTACTCGTATATGTATATGTATATGTATATATAAACAAATCGCGAACATATGTCGAGCTTGGGGCCATTCTCTTTAAATGGTTCCGACCATATGCCAAACGTTGCCGTTTTATTCTTTTAACGTATTTCAGTTCTGTTTCGTTTTTTTCTTTGTATTTATACATTTATCAATAGACTTAAATATTCTTCTCTTTGTCATGTTTTTGGTGGTTTTGGCCTTTCAGTTTTCATTCTGCCAAATTTATTAAACTATTTCTAGAGTATGTTGCTTTCTTCAAACAAAAACTTAACCATAAATTTTTGGTTGCTTTAGCGCTTTGCTAAAGGCGACTAGACTTTGATGTTAGTGCAAATTAAACACGGATACAAAAGACGTGTATGTGTGTTTAGTGAGGGTATTCGTAAAAAATATAATGGCAGAGCGTTGCCTGTTTATCAGTAGAAAAACTGAATTTAACGAATTTAGGGAAGAACCTTAAGAAACAATATTAAACAAATATAACTTTCAAATTTGTAGCAACAAAATTTCAAAAACGTTCATAAACTTAACCACGAAAAAAAAAACCGAAATATAAATTGCATCATACCCTAATTTACCTAACTTGAGTAGGTAGAGAGTATATGCAGTATTTTTTAAAACTTTAACTCAAAAATTTAAAAAAACATTTGCAAAAAGTTAAACTGATAAATTATGATACAAAAAAAAAAAACAAAGTATATATATATGTCTATATATAGATAAAAAGTAATTGAATAAAGAAAATATATAAAAAGGGATTTACCAGTCGCTGCTAATCAGTATCATTTAGAAGAACCAATTTGACCAGGATGGCATAAATGAGGATTGATAGTTGTTATTGCTGTTGTTGTTGTTGTTGTTGTTCTTGTTGCCAGCAACTGTTGCTGTTGAGTTGCCCAACAATGCCGTGTTGCCAGCAGCATTGCGTGCCGCATTGGAGCCACTGGCTGCATTGCCAATGCTGTTGTTATGATTGGACGTGGCAGAGGCACCGCTCCCAGCTGCACTGTTTGCCACATTTGTGAGGAACTGGGCAAATTCCTGCTGCAGCTGCAGCTGCTGTTGCAGCAGCTCGAAATGATTTTGTGGCTTATTGTATATGAATTTCGTGGAAGTTTTCAATATGCTGCCAGAGCTGGTTGAGCAGGCGCCGGCATCGCCATGGGACGTGGCATTGGACGAGGTGTTGTTGCTGTTATTGTTGTTGTTGCTGCTACCATTGTAGCTGCTGCTGCCGTTGCTTATAAATGTTGTTACGGTGTTGTTGCTGCTTGTTGGTGGATTGCTTAGACGATTGTTCGCAGTGGCTGTTGTTGCAGTTGCATTTGCCTTGGTTGTTCCTGCCAAAAGTGGCAGCGAGTGCTTGTTGTTGTTGTTGTTGTTGTTGTTGCTGCTGCTGCTGCTTGAAGTTGTCTGCTGTTTTTGTTTGTTAGTTTGGTTGCTGTTGTTGTGATGTCTGTTGTTGTTGTTGCTGCTGTTGCTGTTGTGATTAGCATATTTGCCAAATTGATGGGCAGCATTATTGTTTCTGATGCTACAGATGTTGTTGCTGTTGTTGTTGTGTTGATGGTTGTAATTGTTGTTGTTGTTGTGATTGTGATTGAGCACCAAACTATTGGCAGCCAGCGCCGCTGCCGCCGCATTGGCATTAACAACAGCAGCCAACTTGGTTAATAATTACGTTTGCTTATTTTTGTTGGTCTTGAAGCTGACCTGAAGTACCCGATTGCCCAGCGTGTAGCCATTGAGCGACTGTATGGCCAACACAGCCTCCTCGTAGTTGGTCATGGTAACAAAGCCAAATCCCTTGCACTTGTTGCTCTGCAAATCGCGTATGACCTACCGATGGAAAAGAACAACAGCATATATACATTTGAAAGCCTATATTAACTACTTGTCAGCTCAGACGCACCTTTACGGATTGCACAGCACCGAACGGCCCAAAGAGCTGCCAGAGCACATTCTCCTCGGTTTCGGGCGCCAGATTGTAGACGAAAATGCACCAACCAGAGCTAGTTATGGTATTGCCCTGAATCATGCCATTGGTAATTAAATCACTGGTGAGCGGCGAATAGCGTGAGATCACAGAGCTAGGTTAGAAAGAAAAAAAAATAGATAAGCGATCAGAGTGCCATAAGTCTCTTTCCCCTGCAACCCTTTGAGTAATTGAAACAAGAAACAATTAAGCTGCAGGATATTGTGACAGTTGTTGCTTCTCACTGAGCGTCTTCTAGCTTCTCGCTTTCACTCCAACTAAGCTGTATCAATATTTAATATAAATATCTGTTAAAATTTACCATAGGCAACTAGCTTGATACTGAATTCGAGGAAACTAAATCAGCAAAGTGTATTGATGTCTTAATATTCTATAATTACCTATCTTTCTTAGCTTCAACTAATGCTTCTGAGTAACTTTTATACGGTTATTTTAAAATATTTCTGGGAAGCATTCTACGGACTCTAAAGTCAGCCCCCTTTATGCCTAATATAAGCCATGTTATTCCATAGAGCTTATAAGTAAGGTGTAGGGTTTTCTTAGGAGCGTCTCTCCCTCACTCTCAGTTCATTTTCTTACTCTACTTGAGGTCATATCAAACTGCATCATTACTTGCTTTGCTGACCTGTAACGGCCCGCGTTGGGATGGATGGCGGCAGCAGCTGCTGCTGCTGCGGCGCCGGCGGCTGCATTTGCTGGAAAAGCGCGTCCGCCGCGCGTATTTTGTGGCGCTATGTAGGCGGCCAGCGGTTGCATGCTGTTCTTGTTGCTGCTCGGATTGTTGGCAAACTTAACGGTTATCGGTTCGGTGGAATTCTTCGGTGTGGTGCCGTTTAGCTCCTTGATGGCGCGATCTGCCTCAAAGCGCTGATCGAAGCGTATGAAGCCGACGCCCTTGGAGAGACCTAGGCGAAAGAATAAGAAAAAGAGAATACTTGTTAAATATCTTTTGAGCCCAACTCCAGTTTTCACAGCTAGCGAACACAATGCGTATGAGTTTGCAGCGGCTTGATCATTGTGCGTGACAGGACTTTTGGCTTGCAAAGCGACGCAATATTGAAGCCAAAAAAAAAACAAAAACAATAAATTATAAATGCAAGTTAAATGTCACTTATACATACTGTCGGGGTGGTCAGCGTGCGCTTCTTTTCGGTATTATTTGAATTTGTTGTTGGTGTTTTGTGTGGTTTTGTGTATTGTTGGGAAAATAAAAAAAAAATTAAATGCATTAGTAACAAATAAAAAATATAAATGCAAAAACAGAAATATGCTTTTTTCTTATAAGGTCCAAATAAAATAATTTAAAAAGAAAAGCATTAAATAAAATAAACATTTATAACACACTAGTCGAACATGCTTAACTGGAAGATACCCTATACCCGGTTAGAGGCGCAACAATTGCTGCAACAGCATGAAACTTCTTGAGTCACAATGTAAGATTATTAAGAAAAATGTAAGATGTAAGCCCCGAATCAGAGGCTTTTATTGGTTTCTATATTTTAAATCTGTTAAATAAACCCGACCTGTGGATATACTTTAGCTGTATCGATTATATGAACGTAAATAAATTGAAATTTAAATATAAATAAAATATAAATGTTTTTTCAAACAAGTTTGTTCAATACAAATTAAATTTATTACATTTACAGTATCCTATATTATAAGATTTCTTCTAAGTAATAAGTACTTCGCTAACTTTCTTCATAAATAGCTTATTTTACTGTCAAAACAAATAAAATGTTTCCTGCAGGTATTTGGGCTTTAAGAAGTCCCTAATCTTGTCTCTTCTTTTCTTTCCTACACTAAGTACAGGATAAAAACTAAACAATTTTCAGAAAATAAAATCAACACACGCCCACAAAACAAGCAAAAAGCACTTGAAAAAAAACTAAATGAACTCAAGAGAAGCAACCGAATTAATGCCAAGCAATGTGCAAATGAGAAATTGATGAATTGCGATTTAAACAGCTAAATAAAAATTAAAAAACCTACCCGCCGCATGTTCATCTGAGAGTTGTGTGTGTTTAGTTTGTTTCAATTATTTTTGTGTTCATGAAAAAATAAAATTGTAAACAAATTTTTTTGCATTATTAAAGAAATGTCAACTTATAAAAGTGTAGCGCCAGCAAAATTTCAAAATAAACTGTGCGCTCTAAAGGCAGAAATAATGCCAGCCTCACAGAAGACACTTAACTCTATTAGTTAAGATAAAAGTATATATTATATAAGCCAGACATGCTTATATGTTAGATATAATTACGATAATTGGGGCAATCTCTCACGAGATGGCAAAACAAACAATTCGGAAATATACTGGCTTATTCTGCATATAGAACAACTTATATATATATATATATATATATATATGTATATATATGTATCGCTTATAATAATAGAAATTAATTATAGCTGAGACATGCCTAGGACATGCCTTAATTATACGTGAATTTAATATATATTATTTAAACTTACCAGTGATATTATCACAAAGTATGCGCGAAGTTATGATCTTGCCGTATGGACTAAACAATGATTCCAAGTCGGACTGTGTCATATTCTTTGGAAGACCCGATACATATAAATTGGCACCCTTAATGCTCTCCGAGCTGGGACGCGCAATGGAGACCTAAATTGACAATAACATTAAATATGTAGGCACATATATGTATACATATTATATGGAAACTAATGAGGGTATTTACGATAGGCAGATGGCTGGCAAAGGATTTCAGCTCTATAAAAAGTTGCATCATTTGATATGATTAATACAGTAATGATAGATGTCGGTAGTTCAATGCGGTTCATGGGTAATGCTGACTGATAGAAGAGTGTTTAGGCCAGACATCTGCTAGCGTGAATACCCCTTAGTTTTGTTGGGCGCACCTTTATGGTTTTGTTTTGCAGACGTAGACCGTTGAGTGCATTGATGGCCTTCTCCGCATCCTCTTGCTTGACATAGTTCACGAAGCCATAGCCCAGACTTTGACCTAGACAAACAACATTAAAGATTAACCATATAGTCTGTTGGAAATAGTTGGTTAATTTGACGCACCTGTCACCTTATCGCGTATCAACTTGCAGCTCTCCACCTCACCGAAGCTCACGAACAACGAACGTATTTCGTCCTGCGACATTGTTTGCGGCAAATAGTTCACTATCAAATTTGTTTTGGGATCCGGTTCGTTGTTGTTGTTGTTATTATTGTTGTTGTTTGTTGCTACAGTGTTGTTGTTGTTATTATTATTGTTATTGGCTGCTGCATTGTTGGCCGTTGCTGCCGGGGCAGCAGTCGCAGTTACTGCAGCCACACTGGAACCCGAGCCGCCATTCTGCTGGGCCTGACTGTTGGCCACGTTGCCGGCGGTGGCGCCACCGGCTCCAGCCGTGGTGCCGCCTGTGCCACTACTGGACGAGCCAGTGCCCGATTGCTGCTGCTGTTGAACCGCTGACTGACCCTCGACCATTTCGCTGCTGCCGCTGTTGGTACAGGATAAATGTGAGGTTTAGCGAGGAAACTTTAAGCTCAACTGTGCTGCAAAAGCAAAGGCGAAGAGTTTAAGGAATTACAAATGATAAGCCTTAACCCAACTAAACTTTACTGAACCTATTCAATTAATGAGCTCGACAAAAGAGCAAGCTGAGAAAAATTATTGCACGATATCGCATATACATTCTATATACTTTTAGCTTTTTTTAATCAAATTGTATATAAACTCACTTTTCTGCTCTATTTGAAATAAAACTGTACCCTTGAAAGGGATATTATAATTTTCTCATTGAGGTTTCTTAAAGTTTAGAAATGGAAAATAAATTAAATAATTTAAATTCATATAGACAATTTTTAAAAGAACTTATTTAACTTTATCGATTTGCTCAATCAACTTTTATCTAACTTAGAACAAACTAAATACCTGCTCAACTTCAGCTCACATTTACTAAAATATACATTTTTAAAGAAACTCAGCTAAAGCTTACTTAAAGAATGAGTCCTAACTGGAATAAGTATAGTTTAGTTGGGAAAATGAAGTGCAAAAACTTTACGGCTTCTTTTTTGTTCAAATGAAAACAAACTTGGACTGTACACTACTTGGATAGTTAAATAGAGTTCTCTTTTAGATAATACTGCTGTAACGCGTTTTGAAATCTGCAATGAAAAGGAAGAAAAATACAACGATTAGGTAAAATTATACTATATTTTTATATATATGAATATTTATTCAATTTAAGCGCTTACCTAGCACGACGCACGAGACGAGCAAACGGAAGTGGAAAATAGAAATTGATTTAAGCTGAACCGTTTACTATAGCCTAGTTATAAGTGCCCTCAACTGAGTGCACACTGCGTATACGTTATATATGTATGTCCGAAAGTTAACTGCAACAAAGAAAATGCAAGTAAAATCAATTATTTTAATTTAATTTAAATGACATGCAGTCCAAAATAGTCGTGGGCGTGGCCAGGCAACCAAGCTGATGGGCAGGCAACAACAGCTAACATGTTTCAACATTTTTAATGAATACCTAGAAATGTCAACGTGGTCTATTTGCATTTGCTGCTGCCGTTGCTGCTGTTGTTGCTGTTGTTGCTGCATGCGGGCACGGGAAACAGATCCGAAAACTGACAGAAAAATCGATGTAATTAAATTGACGCACAGCCTAATTGGAAGCGGGGCCAGGCAATGAAATTGCAAATAGTTTCGCAATTAAAATAGGTCAAAGGCAAACACGGATAATACCCAAAAAGAAAAACGAGCTGAAGAAAACTAAAAACCTACCCAATACAATCAAACCTATATAATATAGTAGTAATATATATTGAAAAGCATATAATTGGAAATAATTTAAACAACTTAATTAACAAATCCAAACCCAATGATTGCCTTAAGGGTTATACGGGATAACGAGGGGCAAGCAGGAGCACAAAGTGATTAGATGGAACCTGCCTCTCTGTTAATCTTAAACAATTATTTTACAAAGCATTCCAATGCTTGTAAAAAACTCTATAATACACATTTTATCCTTCACTAATACTAGCATTCTGCTAAACCAATAGAAAACTTTACTTTTTGTGTTGGTTAAACCAAACAATTGTCTAAGCAATTGTTTAAGAATTATTTAAAATATTAAAAGATAGAATAGATAGGTAGATAAGACAACAATAATAGCCATTATTTGGCATATGTATCTAAGCTTCATATTAATTTGAATTCATCTGTGCTGTGCTGTCTTGGCTAAGAGTTCGATAGTCTAGTATTACCTACTATTATCCTACTACAACTAATAACTATTATAATAATAAGTTTTAAATGTGTCATAAAAATGTTCATTCAATGTTCGATGTTCTTCCGGCGCAACTTGCCTTGCAACTGCGCCCTCATAAATCTTTGTTTTTACTCTGAATAACATCTGCTGACTCAGCTGATTTCCTGTTGAGCTGCCCAATTGAGCATTATTCTCTTTGGGTTTAGGCTGAGAGCAAGCAGCCAACAAATCGAATTGTTTGAAATTGATGAAAGCCAAATGTAATACATACGTCGAACAAATATATATCTAGCCTGCGTGTGTACATATCTGCAATGGTTGATCCAAAAGTTTGGACAGCAGGTGCATTGTTTCGTCGAAATAAGAGGGCAATTTTTTATCGTTATACTGATCAAAATTCTATAGTATCTATGTTGATTAGCAGCTATAATTTATGGCCGTAAAGATTAGAGAAAGAAGGTTCCTTAGTGTGACAAATAGTTATTAATTTAAATGTTGATATATTTAATCAAATTTAGATCTGTTCCACAAACAAAAAGATAGTTTACGAAAATTAATGTTGATCCAGAAAATCTCTAAAATAAGCATTTTTAAGGTAAGGTAAGGTAAGAAAAGGTAGCTCCGCTAAGTAATTTTCAAAAATAATAAAAATACATAATCAAAGAGAACGTCAAATATGGCTTTTGAATCAATTTTCAAAATTGTTATTTTATTTATATATATATAAGCTTCAGCTTGTTTTCTAAGTTTCCACACATAGATTAGTCTACACCTTAACAATCCGTCTAATTCATCCAAACCAGATTGTTGTCTAAACCTTTTCAATGTCTGTGGCCTTCACCTACTACGTATTTAATTCGCTTTATACTGTATCCCAACATGTTCACCTTTGCCGTGCTTTTTTTTTTTGTTTTTTGGCCAAATATTTTCTTTTTATTTTCTTCCATTTTCTCGGGCTGGCAGAACGCAAATCGTGCGAAAAACTAATATTTTAAAAATAAACAAACAACTGGCGGGCAGGGGAGCGCTACGATACGACGGCATATGTATTGAGAGCCGGCAGAAGTACCAAGAATTATATTTTCGAAATATTTTTAAAATAACAAAACGAATGCGATGAAGACTTTGTCGCTGCTGCTGCTGCTGCTGCGACGCACTTTTGAGGTTAAGTGGCAATGGGAAATATATAAAAATATTGAAATCGGTTTTCATGCCGTCAATTACAAGTGGAAATTACATAAATGCAACAACAACAAAAAATATTCAATATATTACCTTTGAATTTGACAAGCAAATTTCAAATTGAGAAATGTAAATAAAACTTGTTGCTCTTTGAATTTCGATGCGATTACGAAACACTTTTTTTATTTTAATTTTTTTTTTTGGGGGGATTGCTTATGCTACTTTTGTAATAATCGAAAACAAACAAACCGAAAGATTTAGGCGAATACTTATGCAAAATAATTGGCGTTTGATAATGTTTTAGTTTTGTTTGGTATTTGAAAAAGTTAACAAAACGGCGAAAAACGAAAAACCAAACCAAACCAAACTAAACTAAAGCCAAACCGAACCGAACACGAAACAAATGTTTAACAGTAATAATAATAATAATAACGATAATAATAATAATAAGGAAATAAAATCAAACGGAAAGTAGAAAAATAACACGTTCCTGCAACTCAACAGAACAGAAATAAACTGATTCAGCGAGCGCTATGGAAAGTATTTTTATGCCGTCGCCGCAGTGAAAGACAAACGGCAACAAGAAGAGTCGAAACATCACATAGCCATGGGGGCAGAGAGTGAGAGCGTGAGCGTGAGAGTTCTTTATACATGTGATGCGGGAGTGTGAGAGCACTCTGTAATGCTCTTTGCATTTACCATTGTGTGTACGAGTGTGAAGAGCAAGGCCTCCACCTAGCGGGTGGTTGTGTATAGATCAGAGTGCTCTCTATGTTAGCTTGTATGTACATACATATGTACGAATGCCTATAGAAGCTGATGATGACATGTCTATGTACGAGGAAACCACAGCGCAATAATTGGATTATATGTAAAATGGCGAAGTAACAGAGAGGCATGCTATGCAAGCTATGCCACATTATGCAAAGCACTCAAACTAACATTTGCAACTAACAGAACCAATACAGCTGTTAAAATATATATGTATAACGACATGTGTTTGCAAATTAAAAACAGCTGCCAATATCTGATATCGTATACGCATTAGCTTTATGTACTGTCTGATTAAGGCATTTTCATAAATGAGCTTTTAATTTTAATTAAACACAATGCATTTCACAATTATGCCAAACAGAATATGCTGCATAAAGAGTTTGTGTACAAAAGCTCAAAAGTGTAGAGAATTTTACTAAACATAGATAGCTTTGATATTGATCCTAATAATACATACATAATCATACTAAATATACGAATAAAAAATATGCAAACTGTATTTAAAATATAATAAATTGATAAAAACTTCAATCTTCTATATACACGACTGCTATCTTTATATATGTATATACGATTTTTAAAAGAAAATAAAGAAAAGGAAAGATCACCTCATTTGTCTTAAGGCATGGTCGGCAGTAATTCTGCGCTTTTATAAGTACAGTAAAAACTAACCCAACGGACTTTCCTCCTCTTGAAGCTCGCCCAAGAGAATAATCACTGTATAGTATTAATTATAGTAGTTGTTAAAATAAGAGTTATACCTTAAACAAAACTATAAACTTTAACACTTTAACGATTCAATTATTTTTTACAAGTCATAATTTATCCAATATTCAAATATTGTCGATCTAAGAAATGAACTTGATCAGAATTAAAGTCGACAGTTGCACTTCTATTTATCTTTCTTTATTCTAAAACTTCTGTAAAGTAAACTAAACAAGACGCAGAATGTGAGTCCAATATAAAGGTTAGATTTAACAAGCAACAACTACATTGTATATAACCCTGCTAAGGCCAAAGTATGTGAAAAGAACTGCACCTAAAAAATAAGCTGCATCTACTCACAGAAGAATACGCCCATTTTTGCTGCACCGCCCCCAAAAGTAGTGTAACATAAACCGGCAATTTTCATTCATAAATTGTTTAAAATTGTTTCCGCTTAATAGACGCTTACAAAAGCGCAGGATATAGCGAAAGCTTCTTTCAAACGACCACCCCATTGTTGCCACCCTTCACCATTTCGAGCGCATCGAGCAAGCAATGCAAAGTGGCTAGAAACCGTTAGAACAAAACAAAAAAGTGACACACCTTGCAGCAGGCAAAAGCAAAAGCCAAAATCAGCCGAAGTCCCATTGAATAGGAGGAGAAGGAGCAGAAGACAGCAAGAGGAAAGCTAGGCAACGTTGCTTTTGGGTGCGGCAAAAAGAAAAAAATAAAGAGAAAAAGAGAGTGAATGCAGCCGCGGCGCAGTCAACACAGCTGCAGCGGCAGCAGCAGCAGCTGTCAGCTGAGCGCGCCTTAAGATATGCAATGCATAGAGAGCAGGAGAGCATAAGCTAGAGAGCGCATTTAGCTGCAAGCGGCGACGCCAACGTCGACTGCGTTTTTTAGGTTAAACGGCGACTGCAGCCGGCGCTGCACGAAACGCAGCTGTATTTGTGTATGTGAGTGTAAGTGTGTATGTGTAGGCGGCATTTGGCAGCAAAGTGTAGAGAAATGCGCTCAGCGACGCAGGGCCGCCCATTGAGCCAAGTTTTTACTATCGTGAGTGTGCTTGCATGCATATATATGTATGTATGTGTGTGCATGCTTGTGTGTATGTAAATGCGAAAAATCGACCATGGGTGTGGGCACTTTACATGCTAATATGCAATTACAAGCACAGAAACAATTGGTAATTACATTTTTTCATAGTTAACCGTTGCTTACTTTTGTTGCATTTGGCTGAGTGCTAGAAAGAGCGCCGTAAAATTATTCTTCACTTATTTTTTGCACAATTTTAGCATAGGTTTTGCTTTTTTTTTTTATTTGAAAAATTGGAATTTGGTTCGTTTTAAATGAGTTTTGAAGTACACGCACAAAATTGTAGATTTGAACGGATATACACAATATACGATGCATACATATGTGTATGTGCATGTATGTACATGTATATGTAATTATGTGAGTATGCTAGATGTGTGTATTATACCGATATACAACAATTTATAAACGACGACGATACGACGATAATCAAAAAACACAACTTGCTGCCGGAGAGTGCAAGAACTAAATGATTAAAGTGTTCAATTGCCGCCAGGATAAATGCAGCCAGGACAACGAAAACGTCGAAGTCGACGCCAACAGCGCAGCCAACTGCTGCAGCTACTCTCTCTCCATTGGGTCGTACAGTTGCGCGGCAGCACGGACGAGACGAATGCTGAAACAAAACTGCGTAGTTTTTGCACAGAACAGTGGAGCAAGGTAAGCTTTGCGTAAGCTAGGCCTATTTATTTGACAATTTCAATTTTAAGAGACTTATTTGACATTACGCTGTGTTTTTAAGGACTTTTGAGTTTGCTAAACCCTTTGCAATCAATTTAAAGTTGATTAATTTTTTTTAAGCCACCTATTTTTCATTTTATAATATACAAGTTTTTCACATTCTGCTAACAAATATTAAGTGTTTTCAAAATGGAGCCGGTTGACTCTTATACGGAAAGGACCCCTGCATTTTCTATTCATACATATGTACATATATGTATTTTTTTAAACAATTATTTTTACTATCTCATATTTCGATAAACGATGATAATCTACAAAATAATTTATAATTAATTATTAAACTCAAAATACAAATATCAATATAATATCAAAAGTCTGAACCACTGTTCAGACAACACAAAATTTGATACATTAAATGGAGAAGAAGAAGAAGCGGAAGATGAAGCGACACAACAATAACAAAAGCTGCAGCGCCGAATGCGCAGGTACAGCAGCCCCAGCAGCGGCACTAACAGCGTCAGCAGAAGCAGAAGCGCACTCGCTGCAACAGTCAGTCAACAATATAACGGTACTGCACATGCTCTTCGCTCTGTGAATTAGTTGCTCTCTCTTTCTCTCTCACTCAATCACGCTCCAACACTTAGCCGAATACCCTACATTTGGATACAAAACATAAACAAGGAAATGCAGCGACGACGCCGACGTCGATGACGACGAAACAGATTGCGGTAGGTTCTCTGCTAGGGAGGAAGGAGAGATAGAGAGAGCGCGAGAGAACGCCGGCCGCACATCAGCAGCGAACTAACGTTGGGCCAACAGTCAAAAAGGCACCCAAACAAACAGTAAAACCATCGCGCACACGCACACGCACACACACTGGCACTAAGGATTTGCAAGCCTAGAACGGCAGCTGACTGAGCTGCGAGCGAGCGGCGGGCAAATGAGCCGAAAGCCGAGTGGCGACTGCACCAGGCAAAAGCAGCAGGCAAGAAGCTCAACTTGACATCATTTGTGTCAAAAGACCATTGAACTCTGCGCGGGGGAAGTTGTGCCTCTACACTTCTCCCCCTTAAAATCGTAGCATTCTCTGTGCATTGGTTTGTTGCTGTTGTTGCGGCTCTCTATGTGGCGCAAGCAGCAAGTGTTTACATGCAAATACATATAAACACATACTTAATACGTATGTGTAATTTGTATGCATGTGTGTGTGCGTATTGCTATAATCTCCACTAAGGCAACTGCGCCCGCAAAACTGTGCAGACCACAGTAAATACAATAATTTACATTTCTACCACCTTTTACCGCCTTATAACTGTAGCTTCTTATATGATTGTTATCCTAATGTTTTGATGGATATTTAATAGCTGCTCTCACAATAAACATATTAATATAAACTTTTTTTTTATGTTTGTTGGCAACTGCTCAAAAATAAATGTTGTACACAGTTATTATGCTGATGAGGCATTTGCCTGATAAATTAAAGTCTTGTCCATAGAATTTGATATTCAAACAGTTTAACTTTTTGCTGCTTTACTTTAAAACTTCAAAGCTCGTGCAGCACTTGTAAAAGCTATGCAGCTTTCTACAGCCACAAGCTGTTGTTGCCTGACGTTTAATGCTCAAAAATTGTAGACTTAATAAAAGCTGTAAAGCTTTCAAAGTGCAAGCAAGCAACTACAACTAGTTAAGAGTGCATTGATGTATAAGAGCGAGAGAATACAAATTAAGAGACTTACCTTACGCTAGCTGATTCCAGTAAGTCAGATATTGCTGCTGCTCCTGAAACTGATGTGCAGGCTGAACAGAGTCTGGATACTGTGCTACACGGCATCTCTTAAAGCACTGAACGCCACTCGTATGCTGATACTGTTGTTGTTGTTGTTGTTGTTGTTGACTTTCCTGCGGCAGCTGTTGCTGTGCGTGGTTGTTATTGTTGAGCGTACACTGCGTGTAGGTGTTTGTTTCCATATAATAAACCCTTCCATGATAGTTACCCGTCTCGTCCGGTCCAGCAGCCATGTACGGCCCACTATTGACAGCGGACCACTGTGCGCCACAGTGGTGCCACTGTTCTGCCAGCGCCGTAGCTTGTTCAAAATGTTGAACCCACTGCCAATTTGGCACTTGCGCAAATGGATTCTCCTGGATCCACGACTGATGAGTGGAATTCATATCAGGCTGCTGCTCATAGACTTTATCGTCTGCCCACTGTTGGGCCCGATATTGCGGGACTTCTGTCTGGTTGGCATCTTTGTTTGCCCACTGTGCGACCTTTATTGACGACTGTTTGGGTAACGGGGACCAGTGCTGCATGCCAGGCAATTGAGCTGACGTCATTTGGTTGCTGGAAAGTTGCTTCTTTATATCGGCTACCCACTGTGCGCTCTCGCTGCAGGCTTCGCCTGCATTCAGCTGTTGCTTCGCCTCTGCTTTGATATGCTGCTCGGCCGGCGATCGCAGCAGTTCAGCAAAATCAAATATCAGCGGCTTTTCCAACGTCGACTCCGCCGAGCCGAACGAGTTGTTCGACGAGGAGAGGGGTGTAGGATTTTGCCGTGTTATCGCTTCCAGTTCAGCAGCTTCGGATGCGCGTCTTTGCGCCATCGTTCTGCGCTTGCGACTGCGCCGCTTGCTGCGCTGCGCGCTCTTTTTGGCAGCCCTCTCACTCTGCACTTCCTTTTCCAATTTGGCGCTGCCATCGACTGACTGGGACTGACGGCAGCAGGTTTCACATAGCTTTTCGTCGGCGCGACGTTTTTGATTCTGTCGCTGGCGCCTGCGACGTTGAGTTTTGCTTTGATGATTCGCTGCCGCCACAAATGCAGCCGAATTTTGGTTCTCAACATTAACTCGTCTTTTTTGTTCCATGTTGCACACAAAAACAAAACAAGCGAAACACGTGCACAGCTTGAAATCAAAATGGCGCGCAAACAACAAATATGCACGCCAATTCTTGCAAGGGCTTTTCTTGTTGCTTCGCTGCGCTTTGGCTGTGCCTTGAGCGTCAGCTTAACTGTTAAATACAAACTTAATAAGAAAAGTTAAGCACACAAACAAAAACAAAACAAAAATATGAAAAAAATTACAAAATGTTTAAACAAGCTGCGCCACAAGCACACGGCAAAACTACAAGAAAGCAAGTGCTGAAAAGTGTTAAAGTTTGCCAACGGCGTTTTACAGCACAGGAAATGGTTATTTTTCTGCAATAAGCTGCGCCGACAATTTGCTTAACATATTTCAATATAAACATAATATATATAAATAAATAAAATGTAATTTAAAGAATTGCAACAAATATTTGGCACATAAACAACAATAATTTATAAATATTAATTAGAATGCAGTTGCACAAAAGCCGATGCTGTTTTCTAAAATGTTAATCTTAACAGCGGCAGTAAAATTCACGCAGTCCTGTTAAGTTTAACATGATTTTGTTGAGTCCAAATGAATTCGCCGCAAGTGAGGTTGCGGTGTGGCGACAAAAACGGAAAACCTGCTGCGCGCGCAATTCAAAATAAGTAAACGGCTTCTTTTAAATGTTACAATTTTGGTTTTTTATTTTGATTTATCAACTACTGTTACGGTAATTGCATATTAAATTGGTTGTTGTTCTTGTTTGTTGTTTGTTTTGTTTTGTTTTGTTTTGTTGCTTAAACTTTAATAAGTGTACTTGGTTTTTGCTGCTGCGGTTGTTGTTTTGTTTTTTTACTCGTTTTGTCATTTGTACAAAATATATAATATATATTTTTTTATTACTTATATATGTATCATTTGTTACCTTTACTATGTTAATGAACAATTTCGTTTTGTTATCAATTGTTGATTTTGCTGTTGCTGTTTCTCGTTTTCTTCCCCTTTTTTTTTTATTTTATTTTTTTTTATTTTGTTTTTTGTCCAGCTTAAAACTTAATTCTGTTGGTTTTTACGGTTCGTTTTGCTTATATTTTGCACTACAATAACGCTTAACAAAATATAATTATTAACTATGCTTCGCTTCTTAAATCGTCTAGGCGCATTTTCGTTTCATCTTGTTGTTTTCTTTTTTTTTGTTGTATTTTCCTTTTTTTTTTTTCTTCTTTTTTTTAATGATTTTTAAATTTATTATTTATAATATTTATTGCAAGATTGCTGCTTGTTGTTGTTGCCGTTTGAAAAAATTTAACTATAATTCATGGTTTTTCTTTTAGTTGTATATATATAAAAATATATATATATATATATATATATATATATTTATATATGTATGTAAATGTGAATGTATATATATGTATATCGATACATATGCGTCTACGTACGCGCGTATGTGTGTGAGTGTGTGTGTGTGTGTGTGTGTCTGTGTGTGTGTGCGTAATTGTGTTCGTAAAGTTGCTTTTTATTTACAGCGCTGGAAATTTTAACAATACATATGCACATACATACACACACGCACACAGGTGCATGCATGCATGTATATATGGGCATGTATAATTTTGAATAATTACAGTTAATGTTGCACATATTGCACAATAAAATTGCGCGATACGATATTTCATTTTGTTAATGTTCTCGATTTGTGTATTTCGTGTTTTGCGATACCCTTGCAGAGGTTATGCCTGTTTTGTCACGCCTTACGTAACAGTTTCCAAAAGAAACAGATCGGTTAGTGTAACTAATGGTCGTTAAGTTGAAGTATATCTAGTTATGAATTGCATTGCCGAATCGAGAATCACGAATACTATATCTGTATTTATTTATATATATATGTATATATAAGTAGCTGCCATAGGAGCAATTTGTTGCAAGCCCGTTTGCAAGGGTATTTGGAAATTCGTCTGGCCGAACTCTGGTTTTTGCAGTGTTGTTAAGTGCTAACTTAAAATTTGACTAACATTAAACGTTATGGTTTCATTTTTGAAAGTTAATGCTTTGTTTCCCCAGAACCACATATTGTATAAGTACATTATATATCTATATATATATATATATGTTTATTAAATTTTTGCTTTTGCTTACCGTTTTCTTAGTTTGTTTTTCGTTACGTTTTTCGCTTTGATTTTTGAGTTTTCGCTGCGCTTTGCTTTGCTTCGCTTCGCTTTGCTTCGATTACGTTTTGCTTTCTTTTTCGTTTCGCTAACGCCAAAGTGCTGCCAATTAGGCACAATAGTGCTGCCCATTTGCTGCGCGTCCTCCACGACTTACAATTAGTTTATTGCATTTGTTGTTTTTGTTTTGTTTTTTGTTTTTATGTTTTTAATACGAATTTCGGCTTATTGACTATAACTTGATTTTCGCTTTGCTTTTTGGCATATTAAAAATATATGTATATATATATATGTATGTATATTTCCGATATATGTACAATGTATGTGAATTGTTGATATCGCTTTGTATGAGGGCTGGGAGGAGATGGGGGCGGTTGTAGGAGGCGAGTTAACATTTTTATTAATTTCTGCGCTTTGTGTGGGCTGGAAGAAGACGTGGGCGGTTGGAGAAGGTGTGTTTTTCTTTATTGCTGCGTTTTTTTTTTCGATTTATTTTATTTTTTGTTTTTGTTTTGAATTTGAACTCGTTTAAAAACTACTAATGCACTATTAGTTGTCGCGTTTTTTTTGTGAGTCTCGAGGCACCGCAAAAACTTAAACAAAAAAGAAAACAGAAAACAGAAAGTACAACAAAATGAAACAAAAAGAAAAACTTTGCATATATATGTGAGACATACATATATATATATATATATATATATATATATATATATCAATATAATTATATATATCTCTCATTCATAAATTGTTGTTCTAAAAACTTGATTGCTTTCTTTTAAAAATTTACTTTTAAAATCAATAATATATTATAAACATAATTAATAATGTATTAATATAACTATATAAAATAGTGTTTTTTGTTTTTAACTCAATTTAAAGTTACGAAACAGTAAAAATTTGCATTTAAATTAATTTAATAAAAACCATACTTATGTTAAGATTTTAAGAACGTTTCTTTTTTTTTGTTTTTCTGCTTAATTGTTGTTGGTTCTTGCTTATATACAATAAAGAGTTTACGAGTTTTGTTGCTATTGTTATTGTTTTCAGGCGCATTAACATTTTGGCCAGCGAGAATATATATATATATATATATATATATATGTATATATATACACATAAATATATATACATATGTAGATACATAGATATATGTGCAAACGACAAGGAAAAATTAACTAACTTAAATATTAAAAAGCCATTTTTATTTTATGCGTAAACGAAAACAAAATTCAACTAAAGTTTGTTTGGGCGCCATATTTTTTCTTTTCTTTACCTACAATCTAGAAAACATATATAGATAAAATAACTTGATTTTGATAATGTGTGTGTGTATGTGTGGTAATATCAACTAAAACTATGCATAAATATAAAGCTTAAATTGCTTAATAAGAAAGAAGAAACCAATTGAAAACTGAGCGTAAGGAAATAAGTAAATGGTGTGCATATTGTTTGTGTATAAAAAAAGGAGTAACTAGAAATTATTAACAAACATTTTGCTGATGTTGTTGTAGTTAATGTTGTTGTTGTTGTTGTTGTTTTTGTTGTTGTTGTTGGAAGGTTTCATAAGCTAAACAACTAAATTTATAGCTGTTGCTGCTGCTAGTATACAATATAATAATTATAATTATAATAATAGTTGCTAGTTTGGCCTGACTTTCATTTAGACACGTTTGGTGGTGATGATAATGTTGTTGTTGTTTTTGTTGTTGTTGTTGCGATTGTTGTTGGTGTTTCTGTTGCTGTTGCTGTTGGTCTCGTTGTTGAGGCTAAAGTTATTGCTACTGAGACTGAGGATACGAGACAGCATCGCGTAGCGTCTTAAGGCCCGCCTGCACATACCGAAACACCTCATGCATGGTGCTATGCAGCGTCAAAGGCCCATTCTCGTGATCCAGTTTGCGTATAAAGTCTGAAAATATATATGTGATTAATATGGTTTATCTCTTCTGTGGATCAATCATAAATTATGTATAATCTACATTGGATATTTACTACCAAGGATATTATTTGCAGCCCAAGCCTTTAAATCTAAACTATTCGAGTTCTCACCCAATTGTCGCAGCATTAATTTCCCCCCAAATGTTGCCTTTCATAAAAATTATTAATTTTTGGCAGCTAATTTTGAAATTATTTGCAAAACCAAAATTATAATCTGTTCTTTGACACTTAGCAGGTTGATTTCCCCAATGTGTTTTGATATAGATCTTCAAAAGTGATTCAAAAGCCGATCAAATAAAATATGAAAAAAAAAAAAACAGGCAGAGTTTTGCGCAAATTCAAGGAAGACAAATTGTAAGAAACAATTAGTTGCAAATAGTCCCCCTTGAATTGATCAATAATTTTTGCACGATTCGAGAGGTAATTTCTGATAATCCAATTCGGCGTTAAATTTCATTATCATTAACAACATTCATTAAATAATTCAACTTTCTATCTCACACGGTTTGGGCTGTGCGTTGGCGTTGATCAACAGTCGGTTAGTCAGTCGGTTTTTTAACCAGTTGTATATATACATAGATCGATATGAAGATTACCTATATGATTGCCGGTGCGCACCAATCGATCGGCTTGATCCCACAGCTCATGAGCGCTGTTCACATAGGTGAGATACTCATTCTGCTTGCATAGCTGATTGTGTATGTCTTGAGGCACTATTTTGCCAGGCGGCGTATTCGAACCGGAGCCCTAAAATAAATTCAGAATATATATAGATTGTATTTGTATTGCTTCAATTCTATTCATTAGTATTACCTGTGAGCCCACTGAGTTCGATGGTGATATGGAGGACGGCGTATTGCCATTCAATATATCCCCCCTGCCGGAGCGAAAGAATTCCGAGCAGCTGGCTATTGTTGCGCGACAATTGGCACGTCGCAATTTGTAAAGCTTTAAGGATATCAGCGATTGGCAGCGTAAACTATAAAAAAATAAAGTTGGGAGCAAGCATTAGCTTCAAATTGGTCTTGCTTTATATATTCCATGAGGGGAAACCCACCTGAGTATGGCCACAATGTTGTGCGATTCGTGCTTTCCATTTGTTAACTGTTGATACGGTCGATTCTTAGAGGAAATGTATCTGAAACAGAAATATAAAATATATTGTTAAATACATGCACTATTAGATACATTGAAATAAAAATAATGTTTAGAGCTGCTTGAACTTTTCTCGATACTAAAATCGAAAAGCAAATGGATTTTATGATGTGCATCACACTTTACTCACTTAATTAGCGACAGGGTGTCCTTGTACATGGTCCATGTGGCCTCCATGTTGCAGCGTTCCATGGCATCGGCGGTAAGCAGGAAATAGACAATTGCCTCCAGGTAAAGCGTCATTTGATTAAACGAGTCACGCTCCGAATCAGCTGCGCGCTTTCTTCTGATTGCCTCCTGCAGCAATAGATCGTTTTTCCTGCAAAAAACGATTATGGAAAATTAAAATTTCGCTCGTTCTATATAATCAAATATTTATATGATTTCAGTTACATTCATCTACTCGTCATTCGTGTCACTTAGAATTTTAAGCCCGGACAGCAATAAATGTTCTTCAAATGACATTTAAAATTAATCGAAAAGTAAAAAATTACCATTTCGTTCATTTCACATTTTCAAATATCTGTAAAAGTATATCCCTATTTGATTCAATCGTATTAATTGTGTTGATACCAGTTGCATTCCACTGCATCTCATTCGTGTCATTTCGAATGTTGAACCAGAAAAGCAAAACATTTCGAATTTAAAATTTGCTTAAGTCACTGTCCAAAATAATTCAATAGTCAAATTCTACAAATTGTCATTTTTATCATTTTGAATATCGCGTTGCTCTTTAGAAATGTACAACATGTATGTATTTTTGTACATCATTTAAATAGCTACTTCATTCTGTGGAATCAGCTTTCATTTAAGAATCTTTCATAATTTATATTAATAGACTTTAGTTAATGGAAAGCATTACTTGTCCTTTGTATCAATATAAATGCAAATGGAATTAAGTAGAACACAAAAGAGGTTTCAAAGGAATTTTACTACTTGTCATTTGTATCATTTTCAATGAAGGTTTTTCAGAAATTTGCAATGAGCAGGTATTTTTTTTATCAATCATGATTATGATAGCTTTCATCATTTTAGTTTTCTTTCGAATCGTTATGAATAGAGAACATCATACGGAATGACCTTCTTTATTCAATTCAATGGGATCGGTTAGAGAAATAGTTTGGGATGTTACTCACCTGAGGTCGTCGCTGGCATGCTCCTCCTCGTTATCAAAGTGGGAACGATAGATGAGACGAGGCGCTGGTGGCGGGGCCGCCGGTGGCGGCGTCGTTTGGACCGCTTCGCTGCAGGTGGTGGGCAGTTGGGTGGATGCCGTGGCAACTGTTGCTGATGTCGTTGAGGCAATTGCATGGCCCGTTGCTGTTGACTGTGACTGTTGCTGCTGGTGTTGGTGTTGCAGCTGTGATTGGGACAGGGGTAATTGTCGTGCGTGTTGCTGCTGCAGCTTATTGGGGCTGGCATTGGCGGAGTTCTCCTGCTGCTGCAGCAGCAGCTCGAGTTTGTCGCGCGATAATCGCTCGTGATTGTTGGCAGGCAGCAGCACCGGCACCGGCAGCAGCTCCTTGCTGAGCTGCTCGGCCTTCTCCTTTTTTCGCTTCTTCTCCTTGTACGGGCTCGAGCTGGAGCTGGAGCTGCGTTTGCGTCGACGCGCGGGCAACTCCTGCTTGAGCATAAACTCCTGCTTGACGCTGTTCGGCTTATATTTGGCTTCATAGCCGGCATCCAGCTCCGGCTCGGGCTTAACGCCGTGCTCATGCTTGACGCCGCCAAGCAGCTTGTTGCCAGCCGCTGCGCCGGCTGCACCACCCAGAGCACCACCCACATAGCCATTGGGCGCATAGATCTGTTGCAGTTCCTTGGGCGTGCGGGCGCCCTCCGCGGAACGGCTGCTCAGATGTCCGTTCTGCTGCGTCTTCAGTCTCTCCGGCTGGTGGTGGTGCGGCGGGTGGTGCGAGTGCGAATGCGAATGCTGATGATGGTGCTGGTGCTGCAGCTGCTGCTGCTGGTGGTGCTGTTGTTGTTGGCTGCCATCGGCTGCATATAGTCTGTAGCTATTCTGATACCATTCGGGCGGCACTCGCGCCAGCTTGCTCAGATCGATTTTGCACATGAGGGAAGTCAGATGTGGTGTGGTGGTGCGCGCCGGCGAGGCCAATGTGGCGCCCAGCAGCTGTGTGGGCGTGGCCCGCGGCTTAAGCTCTTTGGCTTGCTGCTGCTGTTGTTGTTGCTGCTGCTGCTGTTGCTGTTGCTGCTGCTGCTGCTGTTGCTGCTGCTGCAGCTGCTCCTCGGACTGATCAATGATAACGACCTGACCCTGCTTCTTGGCGCCGCCCTCTTTGGGATTGAAGATGCGCGTCAGCGTGCATATCTTCTTCTTATCACTCTTGCGCTTGCCACTGCGATGGGCATCGTCCTCATCGCTGCTGCTGCTGGCGCTGCTATTGCTGCTGCTGTCGCTGCTCGCGCTGCTGCTGCAATCGCTGCTGCTGAGGCGCTGCTGCGCGGACTGCTTGAGCGATTGCAGCGGCAGCTCGGGCGCATAGTGTCCCTGCAGCAATTGTTGCTGCTGCTGCTGCAGCTGATGATGTTGCTGCAATTGTTGTTGTGGCTGCTGCTGCTGCTGCAATTGTTGCTTTTGCTGCTGCTGCTGCTGTTGTTGTTGCTGCTGCTGCAAAAACTGTTGCTGTTGCTCTTCGGTCTCGCTGCTGCTGCTGTTGCTGCTGTTGCCCAGGCTGAAGCGACGCTTCGCCTTGCTGCTGGCCACGCCCACTTTGTTAATTTTCACAATACGCTTTTTGGCGGGATTTTGTGCTGCTGCCGCAGCCACTGCTGCTGCTGTTGTCACAGCAGGCGCTGCTGTTGGTATGTCGGTGTCGCTCCCACTGCTGCTGCTGTTGCTGTTACTGGACTTGGTGCTGCTGCAGCTGCTGCTGCTGCTATCCTCGTCGCTGCTGCTGGCCGCGCGCACAGCAATGGCTGCTGCTGCTGCTGCAGCTGCTGCTGCTGCTGCCATTGCTGCATTGGGCTTTTTGGTAGGCGTGTTGCCATTGGAGCTGCTGTTGCTGCTGTGCTCACGCTTGCGGCTGCCAGCAGCAACTGTTGCTGCCGTGCCGCTGCTGCTGCTGCTGCTGGCGGTGCCTTTGGCCAGCGGCTTCTTTGCCGCCGTCAGCGTTGGTCCCTTGGCCTGCGAGCTGCTCGCCGAGGCACTGCTCAAGTTGCCGCTCTGCTGCTGCTGCTGCTGCAGCTGCAGTTGCTGTTGTTGCTGCTGCGCCTGTTTGCGTGGCCTGCCGCGCCCCTTCTTAATGGCTGGCGCCGCGGCTGCTGCTGCTGCTGCCACAGGCATTGCCGATGCTGCTGCTGCGACGGCGGCAGTAGCTGCTGCTGTTGCTGCCAGTTCGAGCGCGTGCTTCTTATTGCTGCTCGCCGGCTCGTCCTCATCGCTGGAGTCCAGCGGCGGCGCCGTTGCTGCCGACATTTTCTTCTTGCGCGGCTTCTTCTGGCGCGGCTTCGGCGAGGCCGGCAGCGGCCCGATGGGCGTCAACGTGACGCTGTTGGGCTGCGCCTTGTGCTGTGTTGCTGGCGGCACGCGCATCACTGTGGTGATGGCCGCCGGCACGCCAGGAATTTGCAGGGTTTCACCTAGTCCTGGCATCGGCAACACCTCGCTGCTGCCGCCGGCGCTATCGGAGCTGCTGCTGCCGCTGCCGCTGCTGCCGCTGCCGGAATCGGACAGACGCGACTCGCGTTTGATTTGGTTTTTTGGCAAAGCGCCGGCCAGCGCCAGCTGCTCCGCCGTCAGCTGCTGCTGTTGCAGCAGCAACTGTTGCTGCTGCTGCTGTTGCTGTTGTTCCAGCTGCTCTTTTTTGACGGTCACGCTCAGACCGACGCCGTAGCGCTGCTGCTGCTGCTGCTGGTGCTGTTGGTCTGCCTGCTCGTCCTCGTCGTCGTCCATGTGCCGCGAGTCGTCGTGCAGCTTCTCATTCTTGACAATGGCCGTGGTCACGTCAATGGACTCGGGTATGATCTGTGCACCGCCCGGCAATATGCCGGGCACCTTCATGCTCACATTGCCCATGGCATTGGCCACGCCCGGGGAGACGCTCTCGGCGGCTGTCTGATTCGCTGGCTTAGGAAAGAAGCGGCTCAGATGCCAGCGATTGCTGTCCGTTGGCGAGGGCGTCTTGTTCGACGAGCTGGAGCTGCTCATGGTTCCCATGCCGGAGCTGCTGGAGCCACCGCCCGTGCTGCCGCTGCTGCCGCCAACGCCGCCGGCCGCGCTGCCAGTCGAATTGACTGCACCGCCAGGCCCGGCACCAGGTCCGCCCAGGCCGCTGGAGGTGAGCAGGCCGCTGATTGTATTCGCTCCACTTGCAATTATCGTTTGGCTGTATTTCTTTTTGCTGCCATTGGCGGTGGCTGCCAGGCGCTGTTGCTGTTGCTGTTGCTGCTGCAGCAGCAACTGTTGCTGTTGATGTTGTTGCTGCTGGTGCAACAAGTGTTGTTGTTGCTGCTGTTGTGGATCACCTTTGCTGCTGGCCTCGCTGCCCGATTCGCTGGAATCCGATTCGGAACTGTTGCTGCTGTTGCCAGCTGATCGACTGGAGGGAGGGAGGGAGAGAGAGAGAGTGGAAGCGTTATATTGTGTATACCCTGTAGTGCTTGTCAAACTGTTGCTTACCTATCCTTTTTGCGTTCATCATCGGATTCGGAGAGCTCTAGATCATTCTCAAGGCTGTAAGTGAAACAAAATAACAAACAAAATAATGTTAATTATAAATTAATATTGATTATAAATCATCCGCGTGCACCCATTCGAGCAATTATTTGATTGATTGTCATTTGATAAATTTGTCATTCAGATTTTTTAGTTGCCAGCAGGACTCAATAAGTTATGAGGGCCCCACTAAGTTTGGGGTATGCACGTAGAATCAAAGTCGAGGGTCGGTTCTATTAAAGAGTTAGGTTTCTGCCTGACTACAATACCCTACACGTGCTACAGGGCATTAATATGTAACACATAGAAGGACACATGTCCTTGTTCATTCAGTTTTTGGTATTACCCATCTACAGATTATATTATATATGTATATATAAATATCTTTGCCATTGAATTCAATATAAATTTATATTCTGTTCGTTTTCCCAATTATTTTCCGAATTTTCCATCAATTTGGAGCATTCTCTGCTTATCAAATTTTGCCAATCGTTTTTAGGATCCTTCCCTTAGCCCCGTTTTACTTACCACGAGTCCTGTTTTTCCAGCGAATGATTTTTTTCCGTTTTGAGTGGCTTTATCACTGGCGGCGTGGGCGACGCCTTCGGTGGCGTCGGCGTCAGCTGCTGCATGGGCGCAACGGCGCCCATGGCCATGGAGGGGGGCAACGTTGTGGCACCCGCCATGGGTGGCAGTGGCAGCGGCAGCTGGCTGGCCTGCGGGGGCGTCGTCAGCAGCGGGGCAATGGGCGATGTGATGGGCGCTATGGGCGCCAGCAGCGGCGTCATCAGCGAGGAGGCGCCCGCCGCCGGCGGGGAGCTGAGAGGACCGATGGGATCCACCGCGTCAAATGCATATTTAAACTTATTGGGCCCGTTCAGGTTGTAGTTCTCGCGCATTGGCGCGTGCGGCGTCGCCGCAATCGATGTCAGCGGCGTCACGCGATAATTGTTGGTCATTTCGGTGATTATTTTGTTAATATGATTCTGGGAGGGATAGTGAAGAAGAAGGGAATGTTAGACATTAGGCAATACCGCTCAAATGTAGATTATACCTAAACACCTAAATATACAAAAAGTTTCCTTTTCATAAAAATTGTTCTATCGCTTTTAAAGATTTTTCTTTGATTTTGTTTACTAAAGAATATTGTTATATGCATTTTTTTTTTTTTTTAATTAAAGAACATTTTTTGGTAAATTTTTAATCGTAGCAGGCATTTTTTAAATAAATAAATAAATTAATTAATTCGTTTTAAAGGTTTGCCTTATCTCTTATTATGTTTTTTTGAATAATTTTTACGTTCAAAATAGGATTTAAACAATTTTCATAAATATAGCAATAACTAGTTATCATATTTATTGATAACTATTTTGATGTTAAATTCAACTTGTCAGCTCTTATTGGACTTACCTCTGGTGGCGGTGGCTGGAGTCCTGCGGTGCTGCTTGGTCGCTTGCCGCTGGCCGATGGCGGTACAAAACGTCCGCCATTGGGCAGCGCTGGCGCCGGTGGCCCCAGAAAGGACTTTTCGCGGCCATTTGGCATTTGCGTGGACATGGGCGGGCCGAGGGGCGACGACGTTGACGCTGACGTCGGTGCCGCTGTGGCATTGTTTGAGACGCTGGACGAGTTGTTGTTGCTGGAGGAGGACGACGATGAGGATCTGGGCGGGCCACGTGGCGGCGCCATGCCGCTACTCGACGGTATGTCGTTCTTCATGGGCTGACCAGGATAGCCGCCACGCCCATTATAGGGCGGCTTATTATCCGCCTGCTTCAGATATGTGGGCGCCCGCTGCTGCTGTTGATAGTGTTGCTGCTGCTGCTGCTGCTGCTGTGATGTGGGCAGCTGGACAGGCACCGAGGCGGATGAGGAAGCAGATGCTGATGATGATGAGGAGAAGGAGGTGGTGGCGCTGCCAAAACCCTTCGGCAGCGCCTGCAGTCGCGCATTTGACGCACCCGGCGCCTGCCTATAGATGCCCACCGTGGAAGCATTCATATAGTCCCGGGCATCAACGAAGTCACCCAGCGCGGCGGTAATTTCCGGGTCACCCTCGTTGGGATTGAGGCGACGCGGCTCCCCAAATAGACTAGTCTCCCGATCGTCGCTCTGAATGCCCTGTTGGCGTTCATATTTTTCGCGCTCGCGTCTTTTGCGCCGTTCGGGATCCTCCATGCTGCAAGGGTGCAACAAATTGCAAGAGGAGTGGAAAAATAGATATTAAAGTTAATGACTTCACGACTTCCTTAACGTACAAACAGTGTATAACAACAATATGAATTGGTTACACAATTATAAATAACAAACAAACATGACAGGCAACAACATGAACAACAACATCGACAGCATCGACAACAACAACAACGGGAAGAACAACAACAAACATGGCTTGGCGTGTAATGCAGCAGTTGACAGCAGTTTGACATGCGCTGCGCTGCGCTGCGGGTGCTATGTAAACAGTTGGGCATGCATTGTGCTTGCAGCGAATATTGTTAGTTTTTACAGTTTTTTTTTTCATGATTTTGGCAATGTTTTCTTTAAGTGGTTTATGACCCTAACTATTAATTCGCAACATAAATTCACTTCTTTTTCAATAAAAAAAAAATGAATATAGAATATTTAAATTTACTTATTAAAATTTATACTTTAAATGAATACAAGTCTAAGGATGAAAAATATCCGCTCTAACCTCTGGAAGTGTTAAATTTGGACAAAATAGAGTTTAAGAGACAGCTCATTATAATAAAATAACACCGCAACATATACAACACTTATAATAATTACTAACGGTATACATTTTAGTTTCATCTGTTTTCAATTAAATTGATTTAATTAAAGCTTTTTAAAAATTCGTTCATATTTGGGAAAGAATGAAATAAAATTCAAAATATATTTGTAGACATTCTAGTATCTATAAATATATTTTTAACAAGGTGGTCGCTTTTATTTATTTTAAAACGGGCCGCATTCAAAAACTTTAATTAATTGGATTCAATAAAGTTCTTGTATTCTGTAAACTTCCCATGACAATATTGCACGTGCAGGTATTGAAAGGTTTTCAGCTCTGTTAGGCGTAAACAGTTTGACATGCACACCAGCACGGTTTGATGAGCATGTAAACAAAATATCTGATTGTGGATCAGATAGGGGGAGTGGGTAAAATAGATTTTGTGCGTGTGAGTGCGCGTGCGTGCATGTGTGTGTGTGTGTGTGAGTGGTGTAAACGCGACAGTTGTTTAATTTAAATATTTGCTTTAGCTTTGGCAACAATTTTGCATGTGCTGTTGTTAATAAAATAAAACATTTTTGGGCGCATGCTAAAACATACACACACACACACATAGAAACAAACAAATGCGGAATGAGTGTGGGGTGCGTGAGAAGGGGGTGAGTGTGTGTGTGGGGAGAGGGGGGTTTCAGGCTTGAACACACAGCGCAACGCAATGACTCTCAAAACTTACTTATAATTCAGGTTGAACGAATTGTTATTGTACTGCAGTAGTTGTTGTTGCTGCTGCAGCTGCTGTTGTTGCTGTTGATGGTGTTGCTGCTGCTGGTGTTGTTGTTGTTGCTGTTGTGCCATAACGCGCGCTTCATACAAATATTTTTTTAATTAGATTCGCCGGCGCCGCGAACACAACACGCAAACAAGCAAAAACATGAACACACACACACAGACAACAAAAACCGAGAAAAAAAAAACGTTTATGTATGTGAACTGGTATGTGTGTGTGTGTGTGCTTATAGGGGTAAACAGAAAGTGTTTGTAAAAGTTTGTCGCGCTCGTTCTTTCGCTCTCCCAATGCTCTCTTTCTCTGGCTTTGACGCGCCTATGTTATCGTTGTGATTTTGCCCTTGTGATGGCAGAAGCGGCGTCGCGGCGATTTGTATTGTTTGTTGTTGCTCTCTTGAATTTCTTTCTGTGCTGTGTTTGCCTTTCTTGTTGTTGTTGTTGCTGCCCTTGTGTGTGGCCGCAACATTTTCGCTGTCATTTGCGGCTCGCTGTCAAAGCTGCTGCTGTTGCTCTCAGTGTGTGTGTGTGTGTGTGTGTGTGTGTGTGTGTGTGTGTGTGTCTGTATGTGTCTCTATCTTCGCTCTCTCTCTCTCTCTTTCTCTTTCAGGCACCGGCCTTTTATACAGTTTTGGAAGCACTAAGCGTGTCTATTTTGTTAGTTCGTTGCGTTTAAGTAAAAAAATTGTATGAACAAGTTGTTTTTTTTTTTAACAGCCTTTTCAGTTTAAATGCCGATTTTGGTTACATTTGTTCTTGTTATTTTGATTACATGTAAGTCTTTTTATTGCTTTGTGTGTGTGTAGTTTGTGTAACAAATTTGAAGTTGCAGTACCTGTAAAAAAAAGAGAAAATAATTGCAAATTAATATTATGTGAGTACTGCAGAATACTTAAAAATTAACAGAAACTTTTTAAAATAATGCACCTTAAGCAATTAAAAGAATAGACCTCGCGCTAACATAACGGCAAAGACAAGGACAGCCAGACGGGCATCGTTACTTCTTGTTATAGAAGAGACGACATCCACGGTCACTTACACACTCACATATGCACACATGCAGGGATTATGCAGCATTGCTTTGTCGCCGTCGCCGTGACGCTGAACCACTTTCCAAACTAACAACAACAACAACAACACTGGAAGTGTAATGCTCAGACTCACTTAGCCTGCAAAACCTGAGCAGAACAGCGGGAGAGAGAGAAAGAGAGAAGAAGCCACGCTTTTAGGCAATGGCTTAAGCGCCAGCAGATGGCGTCTTAGTGCAACTAAGAGAGTGAATTGAGTGAGTGTTAACGGAACCATTAAAATTGAGCTCGAATACATTTTGGGTAATTGCACTTCTAAGTGGAAAATTTGTAGGGAAATTTAGATTGATTATTTATTTTCTATTAAATACTAGAAAATATTTCAATACATTTTAAACCAAAAAACACGTTAATTTCCCATTCAATAAAACAGCAAACGCAAATATAAATTTCAAACTTTGCAAATTCCAAACTCTGTTATAAAATCAACAGTAAAAGCTCAGCAGCCAGACCAAAGACAAATTATTGTAGCTTTAGATTAAATAGCCGCACATTAAAGCTGCACACACACACACACACGCACACAGTTAAAGAGAGGGAAAGAGAGCGCGTCACCCACAACAGGCAGCAACAATATATAAATTAGGCAATGGCCGTCGACCAAAAATAGAAAAAAGGAACAACAAAAACTTTGTCAAGCTTTTTGCCCGTCTGTTTGTCTGTTGCCGACTTGTCTTTATTCATTTTTCTTGTGTGCATAAACTATTTGCGAGCACTGTGCGAGTGTCCATCTAGCCAGAGAAATAAAATAATTAAATGCTGGTCCAGTGTTGGAGTCTGGACTCGGCTTTTGGCTCTTCAGTTGAGATGCTAACAAAATTTATAAGACAAATAAATTTTAACAGCAGCAACAGCAGCAGCAAAAGCATAAAAACATCCCAAAAACACAGCAGATTTGTGGCAGCACCCTCAGCGCCCGCTCCCATTGCCCCCCTTCGCCTTGCACAGCTGTAAAAGGGTCAACATTGTGCGTCTGATGTCCTGTGACCAGAAAATTAATTTAACTGACACGTTTTTCATTCCACATAAATAAAAAGTACATTTTTTGTCATAAATAAAATTGTATTGCATACGCCAAGGAGTCGGCCAGCATACTGTCAAGAGGGTGGAAATTTTCACAGCTGACATGGAAATGAAAACTTTTTGATTTGTGCTAGTGAATAAAAGCAGCTGCTTGAAATTTAAAGCGATCAAACATTAATTATAATATTTAGTGAGAAAACGTGTTGTCCTAAGTTTAGTGAAATGTTTAAAAGTTAAACAACGCGTGACATACGAAAGAATGCTTCACATCATAATTAGAGAGAGAGAGAGAGAGAGAGAGAGAGAGAGAGAGAGAGAAGTCAGAGAAAGGGAGAGATTTTGTAGGGATACAGGCAAAACCGAGTGTAAGCTCAAAGTAAAGGTAAAGCTCAACATTCTTGTAGGCACGATGTACACGATTTTTTGAGAATCGCATAGAAGGCCGTTGTTTTGTATTAAATAAAGAAAAACGATAGGAATTTACACATCTCTAACGGAGGCACACTTTTCTGTGGCCAAATTAACCTGATATATAAAATACAAATTAAATGTTTGGCTAGAAATAAAATGAAATAATATCAGTTCAAGTTCTGATTTTAGCAAATGATGTCTTGAATGCGAACTTCTTTGCTCAGTTTGTAAATTAATCATGTTTCTTATTGATTACAAAAGTTTGCTGATGCTTCAGCACATACTCGCAGTTAAGAACAGAATGAAAAAGATATTGGAAAAAAAGCCTTGGCAAACGCTTGGGGCCTTAAACATTTTCAATTTTTATGTTTTCTACCCAAAACGAGCCCCCCCCCCCCCCTCTCGACCGTGTCTATTTATTTACTTTTGGGTTTTCTTTTTATTTTTTTTTTTGCAGGAAAATGGTGTGGCAGGAGCAGAGTTGGTGGAGGGGACAGCAAATATGATGACGACCTGGCGCAGCTGTTTACCGTTCGTTCGTTCATTCGTTGCCTACTTTAGGGAGTTGCTCCCCCCCCGCCGCACGATCCTTAGCCTCATGTTCGCAGTAGAAGCCGGCCGGCACAAGCCACAGAGGCTCCTCCTCTTCGAGGCCCGGACTGGGGCATATGTTATGAATTTTATGCAAATATGCTGCGCCTCTCGTTACCAATACTATCCCCTCCCCCTCCCCCCCTTCCGCACAATCAACCCTCCCCATGACTGCAACACTTTACCCACGACTCGGCAGACATGTATGCAAGAAGTTTAAGAAAATTCGCCATGTTGTGCAACTTTTTTTATTTATTTTTTTTTTTTTTTGTTTTTCTCAGTGTTTGCCATTCTATTAACATTTAAATCAGCTTTTGGTTAAGATTTTGAGCCGAAAGGGTCGCTTGTTTTGTACTTTGATAACTGTCTATCGGTCGATTAACTTAGTTTCTTATCTAAATGAATTCAAAGACTTCAAAAGATGCAACTTAAGAAAAAGTAGATGAAGTATAAAGATAGATAGCATAAGGTTAATTTCATGTATGCCATTGAAATGTGCTTTGCAGGGTATGAATTAATCATCAGATGATTTCGAAAACTAGATTTTGAAAT